GGAGAAGAGGCCAAATCCCTCTTTACCACAACCTCCCTTCAGGAAGTTGTACAGTGCAATGAGGTCTCCCCCGAGCCTCCTCTTCTCCAGACTGAACAATCCCAGCTCCCTCAGCTGCTCCTCATTAGGCTTGTGCTCCAAATGAAAAATAATGCAAAACCATTGATGGAAACAAGTATGAAAGTAGCCTTTTTTTTTTTTTTTTTTTTAAATGAATTCTTCTCCATTTGAATCTTGTAGCTAGGTCTTTCTTCTACATATTTAGGAAAATACTGTATCTAGCATCTGCTTTCAGACTTCATGGCTAAAGGTAAAACACAGCATCAGTGCTCTATTTGAAAAATAATTTTGGCTTAAAGTGGCCTGTTGTATGTTTTACACTTCTTTTCTTTTACCTGTAATTTAAATGCTTGGATGTACAACCTGACTTATGGTGTTAGAATTTACAGGAAAGGTATTCTCAGACCTTGTTTTGAGAAGACTCCACACAACAACATAAAGTTTGAACTCTGGTGATTTTACAATCATAGCCACTACAGCATGGTATCAAACCTTTTTTCTTGCTTGGGCCACACTGAGTGAAAAGGAATTTTCTTGGGCTGTATATATATGTAGATCACTTTGAAAGTAATGCCTCCTATTTATTTTCATGGAAACTACAACAAAGAAAATGAGCTTGGTAATTCTGATAGAACAAATTGTCAGCTACTGAACACTATTTTTCAACATAGTCATCACCATTAGCTAATCATTTTCACCAGCAATGAACAAGAGCCTGCATGCTGCACTTGTAAAAACCTACGCCAGGTGACACATTCACTGTCATCATTGCAGAAATGCATCACCCACCACCTCACCGTGCTCACACCCTCAGTTTGGTCTCCATAAACATTCAGCAAGCACTGATGAATGCCTGTGGGTGCAATGTCTTCTGCACTGAGGAATTAAATTCCACACTTTTGCTTCATATGTACTTCCATGGATGCCATTTTGTCAGAGTGCCCCTCTGCTGCTATCTGTTACATGCAACAACGTGTAACAGATAATTAGTAGGAAGGTTCAACCATTTCAGCCATACCACCACCATCTTCTGATGTCATGAACCAACATCATAAAACAACAGACATTACCTTCAGAGCAGGTATTTGACCTTGTTACTGTGAAACTAATGAAATCAGTCTGGTTTAATGGCAGTGGCTGCTATTTGAAGTGAGCTTTCAAGATGTTTGCCAGTGACCTCTGAAACAATGTTGTTCTTCCTGTACTTCACATAATCAGAGAAACATCGAATGATAGAATCACCAAGGTTAGAAAAGAGACTAAGATCATATAGTCCAAGCATCAGCCCATCATCACCATGTTCATTAAATCACATCACTCAGTGCCCTATCTACACTTCTTTTGAGTACCTCCAAGGACAGTAACTCCACCACCTCCTTGGCAGCCTGTTCCAGTACCTCACCAATCTTTCAAAGGAGAGAGTTTTCCTAATATCCAACCTGAACTCGCCCTGATACAACTTGAGGCCTTTCTCTCTCTGTTACCTAGAAGAGGCCAACACCGACCTTGCCACAACTTCCTTTCAGGTAGTTGTAGAGTGATAAGGTCTCCCCTGAGCATCCTCTTCACCTCCACTTCCTCTTTGGCAATGGATTGCCAGGAGCTTGGATTCACAACTGAGATGACTATTGGTTTCAGAGCTTCACAATAATTATTCACAAATGTGCACACTGCCAAAAAGCAATGACACAAATAAGGCGTGATTATGAACTCGGGTATCTTTCTCTCGTAAGAGAGGTCTTATAAACATCTGGTAAAGGGATATGATATGATTACATTTTTATTTGAATATCTAATTGCAACTCTATATATTCTACTTGAAAATTTGCAGGTAATATATTTATGTCAGCTGAAAATGGAGTCACAAATGCAAATTGACTTTTTTCAGCAATCTTGAATTCTCAAATTCCTTCGTCAGAAAGGAAAGCACAGCTGAGTATTTTTCACTGTTCTTACTACTGTGTTCAACCAACGTAACAAAATGTATGGAACTATTTTCAATAAGTTGAATTAGCACTTTGCATCACCCTCCCCTTGCTCTGGTTTCAGCCCAGACAGTGTTAATGGCACACTGACATTTTTGTTGTTGTGAGTGATGGGTGCACATCCAGGTACGGGCTGCCTGGTGGTCAGAGCTGCCACCATTATAGCATGGGGCAGGGCAGGGGGTGGCAGTGTGAGCTGGGGCCACAGGTTGCAAGTTGACATGCCTGCACTACTGTGAGGATCAAAGATATAAAGGCAAGACTGTAGAGCTGCACCAGCTCCCCACCCTTTACTGTGCTGTAACACAGTCATTTCTTTCCTACATTCACAAAGAAGTTCACTTATGATTTCTGTCCCCAATCTCTACCTGAAAACAATCTTTTCAACCCAGTGCCCTAAGCTCCCCTTTGACTGATGCCTTCCACACCACATCTGCCTCCTGGATTCCACAAACTCATCTGCAAACTGTGCCAATTCTAGATACAATACCCTGATTTTCACAGGCTTTCAGAAAGTCTGGGAAAGAGTGATGATTTCTTTACAGGGAAGTGACACTCTTTTCCCCCTGGAGTGCTTATTTCCACCTCAGAGGACATTTTTCATGCTCTGAACAATGCCTTGCCATAACTTCCTGGAAGTCAGCCACATCTAACAGGTTAGAACCTTTAAAGATTGTCCGGGCTGCAGGAATTTTTTAAAAAGCTCAAGAGTGATGTGGGTCCAAGCATAGAGTTGAAAAACCAGAGAGATCTAAAAATAGTGATGAACAGCAGTGGGGAAACATTCCTGTGCTTCCATAATCTCCAGATTCACCATGAGATAGAAGCTGCCTATGTAGATACGAGACACGGATGATTTGTGTGTATGCTACAACTGAATAGATATCACAGCAGATCTTCGTGGGAAGAAACTGCAGATTGTGGAATAGTTTGAACGAGACAGTAAAAGAACAGCTATTGGACTGCAGTAGATCTTGATTTGCATGGAAAAATCAGATCAGCACAGAGCTGATCACAGTACAGGGAGTACAGAATTATGTAAATATTGTTTCTTTTTGTGTGTTTGTAGAAGCCTTTAGTATCAGCTTGAGGTTACTGCCTACAGCAACACAGAAACCACTGCTCTGATGGGAATAGGACTTGTGGAAATGGTAACCTATACTATGCCATCTTCTGTGCCTATACTTTATTTTTCTATTCAGAATAAGGCAAAAAGTTGTTAGCCACTTGTTGTTAGCCACTGCTATTGGTACTCCTCTTTTTCCTCTTGAACTCTCTGCTCCATTGACCTCGCCCTTAGATTTGAGTCTTTCTCCTGTAGCAAAGTTCAATACAATTTCTACATTACATCATTCTTAAGAGATTTTTAGTCACAGTTTTTTTCCAATAGTTTCCAAATCACAAAAACATGGCAGTACAAATCCCTTTGTCTCCAATGCAGGTGGAAAAGCTTCCACTGCACCAGCCAGGGAGCAGGGAGAGAAGCAAACTCCTGCCTTCAATGTAGTGGTTGTGTGGCCCCATGTCAAAATGCTCAGCCACCTCAGCAATAAGTCTACCTAAACCTCAATCTGATTTTAGAAGGCACTCCTTAGGCCTCTCAAGACACAGTTTTCATTAGCTCTTGCTTATAAACTGGATTTAATAGAAATCATACAACTAGATTTTGCACAAAACCATCTGTTAGATCGTAATGATGGGATATCATGACATATGGTCATTTGGTGAATATATTTCCAATATTTAGAGCTATATAATGAGACAGAATCCCTTGACATAAAAGAAATTTTCTTTCAAGGAGGTCCTGGGAAAAACTCCAGACGCAGACAGATTCACAGATGGAGTGTCACAGTGTATCATATATTTATTTCAGTGAGACAGTTAAGCATTAAGAAATAAAACATAACAGCCATTTGAAGTAACATTTGCAAAATTCCAGTGGTTGCATTGCTCACTGTCTGGAACAGGTTAATTTTGTCCATGCATTTCATCCAAGCATTACCCATCTCTATTACAGGAGAGGAGCAGTGGACAGAAACAATAAGCACTGCTAATCGCAGTGCTAGGTTGTGCTGTATCTCTTCCTCACTTCATGCTAGCTTCCAAATTCTCATTCATACCACTAAAAGTACATGTACTAACACAGAATGAAAATAAATAGTACACATATCATATGAAGAAGAAACGCATATTTTCTTGCTCAGATATCACCAATGCAGCAGCACTAAAAAATGTAGATCATTATAATGAAACAGATAAGAAACACCTCAGCATTCAGCATTTAAATCTTCATCCAGCTCCGAACACATTAAAAAATTATTCTTTACGAACGTCACATGTTCTCCAGTTGAATCTAAATATCTGTAAGAAGTTCCATTAAATCTTTCAGAAGCAGCACAGTAATAAATAATTTGTCTCTGTTTGTAAAACATACTATAAGGAACCAGCCCCCTATTTCAGAGGAGACTCCCCAGTATATCTTCATGTGATCTTTAATACAACTAAGACCTATTTCTAATTCTACTGAGTACTGCCACAGCAGCTGCAGAGAGACAGTGAGAGGCTGTTTGTAGAAACAGCAGATTATTTTTCTTTCTCTGGGTAAGTTAGTATTTTAATTCTTTTAACCCTCAAAGTTATTTTTGGCGGAACCAACAGAACCAGCCATTGTGACAGCCTTATCCTACAGCCCTCTAATATTGTAAAGGATAGCCCCAGTTTTCATTTTCTGATGAAAAGATGGAGACTAAAATTTCACCCGTAATAAAACTCATCTCACTCAACACTACCCAGATGATGATTTTTCTACACACCTCAAAGCCATTCCTTGCAGGAAGAACATGAGAATTTTAATCACCACAAAATAATGAAAACCATGTACTGATTTCTCATCGTCCACTGATGAACCACATGTATATGTCTCTCCATCTCACAGCTGCGCTTCCAGAGTCCAGGGAGAAGCATATCTGTAAGTCACATGAAAATGAGGGAAAAAACAACATTGGAGAAGACTTACCATAGCTACAAGCAAAGCAAAATAGAGAGTATGTAATGTGGTTATCAGAAGTAAATTGTATGACAGCCAGAGTCAGTAATGTTTTTTGAGCAATAACTGTGAAGTTCAAGGCAACATTTATTGTATTTGGCAAAATCTGTTCAGGCCAACCTGCTCATGGAGAGGCAGGCAGCCATGGCCACCTTCATCCATTTAGAGTACTGATCAGATTATAAAGTACAACTCTGGGACTACACGTGTTAATCTGTGCATGGAGACTTGTGTACACTGATGAAATTGGATGTTTAAATCAAGACTTCTAAAACAGGCTGATCAGCACCTTATTTCACAACAAGTACAGTTCATAGTGATTGATATCACATCTAAGATCCAGCTGGGACAGGTTCTCAGGAAGTACACAGATTATGTTCTCTTCTACTGAAAATGAGTACTTACCTACATTGTTGTAAATCTCAGATCTCTGTTATGTTTCAAAATGTAACAAAACTGCTGATTTAAAGATGGAATATATTTTAAAATTGTTAAAAGAACTGAAGAGCAACATATAAACCTTCTTCTTAGCAGATTACCCCACCAGTGCTAAGAATTGAAGACATGAATAAAACATTACTAAAGTTACATCAAATCTTTAATAAGTTGTTTATCTTTACTAAGTATCTCTGAAGTTTTGTTTTTTTGTTTTTTTTTTTTTTTACTATCAGATGTTTCTTTTAATAACAAGGTACTTACACTACTACCAGAAATAAAGTCATAAGCACAGTATCTTTTTTTTTTTCCAAAAGAATAATGCCAATATATTACTGCAGGTAAAGCTGGTTGCAGTTCTTAAATAAGAGGAAATAAGTTTGCTCCGAGTCACTGTTGCCTGTAATTCACAGGAGTGCTACTGACATCAGGATCCACTTGATCACATGTTCAAATCAACAGCATCATCTCTGAGATAGGTTTCACACTCTTTTGTTTCTAATATAACGATGTTTCAACATCTGAAGTTCGTAAACAGTTGAGTCTAATATTCTTTTTTTCCTTTTCTCTTTAAGAATAAAGCAATTTTGTGCCATATACAACAAGACTGGAGTATAATGGCACCACTGATATATGATAGAACAGTTTAAGCAAGCCCCGCAACTGCAAAAGCATGGGATAGCAAATGGCAGCAAAGGAAAAGCACATTATAAGAAAACATATAATTCTGTATGTCTGAAATATCCCAAGAGCTCACCTCTGCTGGAAAAGAAAGATGCATATTCTTGTACTTATGAAGTAGGTAAAACATGCCTCTCTTGAGGAATATCAAATTATACACTCAGTTTGATGCATTTATTTAATTCCTCTCCATAACCTCTGTTTTAGTGGTAAAACGCCTTCAGCTAAAAGACTGATATGAGCAGAAGGCATTAGATTTAGCTTTAAACAATAGAATTCCTGAATAAATCAGTGATCTACTAATTTTAAATTAGCATGATCCAGAAAGGATTCCATATTACTTCATGTCCAAATACTTGAAATCTCATGACTAGACAAAGTGTCAAAAAAGAAAGAAAGAAAGAAAGAAAGAAAGAAAGAAAGAAAGAAAGAAA